GGTCCCCAACCCACATTCAACAGTTTGTTGGTGGTCTGTGGCCTCTTTGGGCCAGGCTGGGGTCCATGGCCTATTGCATTCTCCTTCCCCAGCCCACACAGCAGGGGTTGGTCAGTGGGCTGGGTTCCATTTGTGTTTGCAGCTAGCCCTATTGTTCACATTATGGCCTAGGCTCCACCTCCTGTGGAATTAGGACAGTATTGGTTCTCTTGGGAGCAAGAGCCCTGTTGTGTGACTGTTTTATTGTATTACATATTGCAATGTGGTAGTAGTGGAAATGGTGTTTGTGGTAGAAATGTGCACTTAGGTCATCCTGGGACCAGTCTCCTGCCCTCCCGCCTCTTTGTCTTCTAAGAGGCTGGTTCCTGGTGCTGGAAAGGTTGAAGACTGCTGCCAAGTGTGTATCCCATCCCTTAGCTCTCTGGATCCTGGCCTAAGACACCATAACCAGTGGAATTAACATAGTCAGCTTCTTTTTTATTTTTATATATTGAAGAGGTTGTGGCTAATGAGATGGCATGAAAGAAAGGTGTGCAACTATGGTTTTCATGCTAGGTTAAGCAGCATCCATTATTCACAGAAGATCTGATAAGGTCCAACTTATAAAATAGGTGTAAGGATGTTTTCTCCAATTGAAGTGGAGGTGGTAGTTCTGGAGCCTGCTTACTTCCAGCCTCTACCCTCTCCTACCCTGCCCCCAAAGGCATGTCCTTGGACTTCCTTGAACACTGATAGAAAACTGCTTTAAGAAGTAGAACCTGCACTGATAGTATCATTCTTTTTAAGTGCTGGACTTTACATTTATCATTGTTACATTTGTTCTATATTTGTAGTAAACCTGTTTGATTATACTTTCAGGAAACCTGGGTCCTTATCAGTTGTAGATAATACTAATCACTTTGTGAGTAAGAAAAGGATATCAATGAGAAGAGTTGCCCATTACGTTACATTTAAATATATAATTACAGAGTTACTCTGTAACTGCATTACATGGGGAGTTTGACATGAGTAGAAATGTTAAGGAAATATCCTTCCAGTTTTTTCATTTGTCATCTTTTTTTTTTTTAAGAGATTTTTGCTATAGGGCACATTGCTCATCAGAGACACAGAGAGAGACGAGATACAGAAAGCAAGAAATCACCCGCCCCACGGGGATGGCCATGGCTCAATCCCTTCTCCTATACTCTCCTCTCAGGAGTTTGGGCATGCATGCACATGTGCTCCTGGTGTGAGTTTTAAGCCTCCAAGTCCAGGACTTGAACTGTGGTCGACTATGTGGGAGTCCAGTGATGTAACCATTATGCCTCCTGCTGGTCGCTTGTCATCTTTTTTTAAAAAGTTAGTCAAGGGGTCAGCAGGTGGTGTGGTGGTTGAGATGCTGGCCTCCCACATAGCTGACTTCGGTTTGAGTCCTGGACATGGTGGCTTGGTTTCTCACTTTCCTTCTCTCTCTTGCTCTGTGTGTGTGTGTGTGTGTGTGTTTCTTTCTCTGATTGAATTAAAATAAAAGTTAATAAAATTAAGTAAGTAAAAAAGCTTGTTCAATATCCAAGATATATTGAGAAATGAAAACTTACACAGTATACGCTTAGTATTTTTTAAAAGGTATTTATATATATGTACATTATATATATGTATATATATACATATATACATACATACATACATACATACATACTCACACATACACTCACATACACATACATACATACTCACATAGAAAAAGGCTTAGAGAACATATACCAAAATGTGAAGAGTAGTTAACTAATGATGAGGCTGATAGTTGGTTTTATTTTATTCTTTTTTTTAATATTTTTTAAACATTTTAAAGTGAATATATATATATATATATATAGAAAGAAAAATATTTTAAAATGGATGGTATTATTAAAAAAAATCCAAATCCTTGAAGTTCAGCATTGAATTGAACATGTATTTAGCATAAATTAGAAAACTACCTAATTGTTGCCTTTTAAAAATAATGGAAACTGATCTAAACACTCATAATGATATATTTCCCTTTAGGTTTTTCTGTATGAGTGGAGAAGACAGCTGCAAGTGAAAGTGACAACATTTTTTTAGGATGTCTGAAGATGAAGAAAAAGTGAAATTACGCCGTCTTGAACCAGCTATTCAGAAATTCATTAAGATAGTAATCCCAACAGACCTGGAGAGGTTAAGAAAGCACCAGATAAATATTGAGAAGGTGAGTGCTTTCATTTTTTATCGCAGGAAACATTACATTTATACTTACATTTGTTTTATGTCCCAGGTAAATTTAGAATATTAGATAAGAGACTTTGCTAAGATACCTCACTCCTATTGATTTAGCGACATTATTCATTTTTTTTGAAGTGTTTGTTTCTTGGGGTTTTTTTGTTTGTTTTTGTTTGTTTTTTGTTTTTGCCATAGAGCATTTGCTGGAAAGAGACAGAGAAACAAATAGAGGGAAAGTGAGAAATCACCCCCTGCAGGGCACTATTCCTTCTCCATTCTCCTCTCAGGATTTTGAACATGCTTGCATGTATGCCCAGTGATTTTCAGGTCACTGAGTCCAGGACTGAAACCACATCGGTCATATGGGAGCCTAGCACCTTAACCACTATGCCACCTGCTGGCCCCACATTATTCATTTTTATAAAGCTGGGGGTTTTTTGTTCTATAAATACACTTCTCATATATTCAGTTTTTTAGGAAAGGGATGTAGGAATAGGAAGGAGGAGTGCACTTGCCAGAGAGACAGAGACAGAAAGACAGAAAGCAAGAAATCACATACACACCCCGGAGAAAGTCATGCCACAATCCCTTCTCCATTCTCTTTTCGGGATTTTGGGTACGTAGGCACATGTGCCTGGTGTGAGTTAAAGCTGCTAGGTCCAGGATTTGAACCATGGTCAACTACTCGGGAGTCCAGCAATGTAACCATTATGCCATCTGCTGGTTCCAAGTCTGTACCTTTTTAGTTGTACATATTGAGGTTTTAGACAGTAACTAAAAATGCACATTGTTCAATAGTGCACTATAATGTGAAGACAGAGACTAATGTTCCTACCTTAATTTCATTAACCCTATGACAAGTCTTTGAATTTTGAATGTATGTCTATCAGTAGCTCCTTTCCTCTTCAAGTACACATATTAAAGAAGTAATAATGGTGTGATATTAGGAAATTTCCTTTAATTCACTGCTTCCCTTTGAGGAAGACCCAAAATTGAAAATGACCTAGGACAGTTGAAGAAGAGATAGAGGGAAGATGAATTAGTCTCAGGGAGTATGGTGGAAGTGGCATAGAACCTGCACTGGTCAGGGTCTAGTAAAGTGGCACTTATGGAAGCATCAAGTTTATGGTATACTGAGCATTGATTTGGTAGGTTATGTTGTCTTTTTTTTTTTAGAATTATTTTACTTAACTTTATTTGTTTATTTTTAATTTGACCAGAGAAAGAGAGAGAGAAAGTGAGAAAGCAAGCCTCACCAGTTCCAGGACTCAAACCACAGCTGGCCATGTGGGAGTCCAGCTGCCTTAACCACCATGCCACCTGCTGGTCCCAACTGGTTATGTTACCTTATTTACTGTTGATTAGGTCAGTGATATTGTTCCTTTAAAATTATCTCTCCCAGTCTAAGTTTTAAGCTCTGTAGCCTTCTTCTTATTTATTTATTTATTTTTAAGGCTGGCAATGTGATCGTTAAGCCTTTCCATATAAAACTATTCATCACCCTCAACTGAATAGATTTACAAGTAAGAAAAGTGTCAGCTTTTCACCCATAGATACTATTCATCTTCTAGTATTAAAGTCCTTTTTAAAAGCATAGAAAATAAGTATCAAGAATATTAAGATAAAAATTTTAATGCAAATATGAAGTTATCTCTATATTTCAGGATTAGTATTTTGTTATCACTTTATTTCTAATTGAACCATAAGCAATTAATACGGTTGTGACTTTCAAGAGTTGAAAGGAGTTGTCTGGTAAACTGGTTATTCTTGTCATAAATGGAAAAAAATTAGAGTTCCATGCTTTGGTTAATGAAGGGGATAGTACTGTAACAATATAGAAATAAAGTTAATTTTTTTTTTTTAAGAGAGGTTTTTGCTATAGGGTGTGAGTGCTTGCCAGAAAGACAGAGAGAGACAGAAAGACAGAAATCGAGAAATCACATCCCGGGGTGGGGGGCGGTGTCATGCCTCAATCCCTTCTCCTCCATTCTCCTCTTGGAATCTTGGGCACACACGCACATGTGCCTGGTGTGAGTTTAAGCCACCAGGTCTGGGACTCGAACCACAGTTGACTACATGGGAATCCAGCAACACAGCTATTCCACCAACTGCTGGTCCCCAGAATAATTGATTCTGAAAGATAGAAACAAATGAACTACAGTCTATTAAAGCCATTTCTTTTAGAGTCCTACTTTACCTTTGAGATTTGGTCTGTTATAGATTTCCCTTTTCTTTACATTTATTCTACACAAAAATGCCTACCATCATTATTCTCAGATCCTACCCTCTGTACTATCCAGTCATCAGTGGAAAAAGCAGAACCCTGAAGAAAGTTGCCTGGGAGTAGGAATGATGATTTGATTATTTGCCATACATCATAAGGAAATTTATTCTAGAGTTAGTTGTATTGATCCTTCTCTGCCAAAACATTTTTCTTTAGCACTTTGGGAAAGTTTTGCTTACTGTGAAATTTTTAGACAATATCAAAATAACTGTAATTTATAATATAAGTGATATTGTCTTAAGCCAAGCAGTTAAATTCATACTGGTCTATATTTTATTCCACATTATTGATCATTCCACTGTCTTTAGGATTTCTACTTTAATTATGAAAATGATTTTTTTTATCTATATAGGATTGAATATTTTAGTAGATATGTTATGGCAATGTAAAAACATTTAAAAGATGCAGAGTTCACTCTGGACAAAAGAGTTAAGAAGTTTGGACTCCAGGTGTCTGACAGCACCTCACTTTCTAAAAGACATATTCTTCATAGGGGAAAGGTGTGGAAAGATAAAATATTTATTATGTTGGCCATCAGTCATCCAATACGAATTTAAAAGAAGAAAGTCAGACTGAAGGGAAATTGAAGGTAAGCCTTAGTAGAGTGATTCTGCAACATCTGAAAACAATGAGAGTAGTGTGTTGTGGACACCTGGAACTGTATTCCATAGGTCCTTCAGCATTGTCTTTTATTACACATGATAACATTGATTAGAATGTAATCCTGAAATTTGAAGTGTTAGCATTCAGCTTTCTTGGCTGGTGTAAGATAGACTTAAGCATAGTTATTAGGAACAATAAGATAATAAGCTTGGAACTTATTTTTTTGTTGTTGTTTTGTATTGTAGGGATCTGGGAGGAAACTTGCTGTGTAGTACTTACTGTATCAGTTAGTGCCTGATAAGATGCAAGTGTTAGAAAACTCCAAAATAGTGTTTTAAATAAGGAAGAGTATTTTTATTTTGCTTTTATTTCTAATTTATGTGTAATGGAGGTAGCCAAGGCGGTAGTGGCAACTCGATAGTAATTAGAGACCCAGGCTCTTTCTAGCATCCTCTGCCATCTCAGTTTATTTCTAAATTGTTATGTATTAGGTCGTTGGGAAAGTCAACATATTTTTCTATGCCGAAAATGCATTATGACTTTCCCGATGACCTCTCCAGTACCAGATATGATATCCACACTCCAGCTTAGATGGAATAACCAGAATGATACTTTTTTTAACTATGCTTTTTTTTTCTCTTAGTTCACTTATGCACACACATATACACACTCTCTTTTGAGAAGAATCCTATTCTTGTTTTATGGATGCAGAATCATATCTTTCTGTGGTGGTATTACTTTTTAAATTTTTCTTCTGCTTCCTTGTTTTTATTTTCTCTGACTCCTTCCTTCCCTCCACTTTTCTCTCCCTCCCTTATTCCCAGCTCAGTATATAGTATTGACTGACTTATTGTGTGTATAAGTGAAGTGGGTAGCAGGAATTTTGTTGCCTGGAGGTGTAAACTGGTAAGGATCTTTTTTTTCAGGCTTTTGACATAGGGTACATGCGCTCACCAGAGAGAGACAGACAGAGGGAAAATGAGATATCATCCTCCAGGGGGCATGACCATGCCTCAATCCCTTCTCCATTCTTTCTCCTTCATTCTCCTCTTGGGATTTTGGGTGCACATGCACACATGCCCAACGTGATTTTTCACACTGCCAGGTCTGGGACTCCATGTGAGAATCCAGCACCTTAACCATTACACCACTTGCTGGCCCAGGTTAGGTATTTATTGCCTTCATTCTTTAAGTGAAAAAACAAATTGAGAGTATTTACTTGCTTAAGATCACTATTTAGTAAATATGTTAGATTTCGAATATGCAGGAAATAGTATTCTTCTAATGAAAGGGTGTTGAATGATATATATATGTTGAATGAATATATATATATGTGTGTGTATGTGTGCAGGTATAGAGCCCAAGACTGCATAAGTTGTTTTAGAAGCAACTTTATACTGCTGACTTTGTAATCAACTAAATAAAATCAAAAGGACTTTTCTTTTTATATAAGCTGCAGCTGTCAAGCCAGATCATACCTATTTTTTTTCCTTTTTTTTTTTTTTTGAGAGGTTTTCGCTATAGGGCGCGTGTGCTCGCCAGACAGAGACAGACAGAGAGACAGAAAGCGAGAAATCACCCCCCACCCCAGAGGGGCTGGCCACACTGCAATCCCTTCTCCTCCATTCTCCTCTCGGAATCTTGGGCACGCACGCACACACGCCCGGCATGAGTTTAAGCCACCGGGTCTGGGACTTGAACTGCGGTCAACTACGTGGGAGTCCAGCAACATAGCCATTATGCTAACTGCCGGTCCCATACCTATTTCTTATAGTGGTACTATCACTTTTTTTAAGGACTCTTTCTCTTTCTTTCTTTCTTTCTTTCTTTCTTTCTTTCTTTCTTTCTTTCTTTCTTTCTTTCTTTCTCTTTCTTCCTTCCTTCCTTCCTTCCTTCCTTCCTTCCTTCCTTTCTTTCTTTCTTTCTTTCTTTCTTTCTTTCTTTCTTTCTTTCTTTCTTTCCATTGTTTACTTTGAAGTCATTGATGAAAATGTTAGACAGGAAGGCTAACCCAGCAGCCTAGTGGTTAAGGGAGCTAGGTCCCATACGGTGGACCCTGGTTTGCATCCCCTCCCTGACAGCTTGAAAAACATAATTGGGTT